GGGGGGGGGGGCGCCTACTACTAGTAGCTACTACTACAACTACTGGCAGTACTAGTAGTAGCAGTCACGCAGTTGTCACGCACGTCATCGCCGTCACAGTACTAGTACTAGCACTGGTTCGAAGTTCTGCAAGTGAGAACAAACAAATCTGCGTCTTTGGGCAGTCATCTTCTGGCATTTTGCTGCTGCTGCTGCTGCTTCCTTTGGCTGGTGCTTCCGTTTTCTTTGCACGTTGGTGGTTACTGTCATGCCGCCGCCACCACCACCACCACCACCACCACCACCGCACTAGCACTAGTACCAGCACCACCACCGCCAGCACTCCACCACCGCATCAGCACCCAGCACCAACATCACCATCACCACCACCACAGCCGCCGCAACTACCACCACCACCACCACCACGACTGCGTACTACGAGTACCACGTCCATAATGGCTACACGTAAATCGGCTCTTTCGAGAACGCCAGTCACAATAGCAAAAGCCGCACCAGTGATGATGCTACGATCAACTTTGTACAAACTGTGGAAGAGGTCGGACTCCTCTTTGAAACACCCAGAATCTCCCGAGATTCTTCTATCTAGATGCTTTATGGCTCCAGAGAGATAAGGCACCTTTACGTACGGCTGCACGGAGCCGGGGAGTCAGGATACTGTGCGATTTACGCCAAAGGATTTACAAGCATGCAGCATGAGAACGGTCTTCTTGAGAAAGTGGGACCCAGGATCACACACCGGGGAACTGTGTCGAACACGGAAAGGATGGCAGATAAAGCTTCCCACAAGCCTTGCCAAAGGTCTGGAATATCTGCTGCACGATCGCCTCAGATGCATCTGCAGAAAGCATTCAGCGTCTCGGCTGGCAGAACTGAAGCCTAAGCCTTGATTTTGCAGGAACCAATGGGGGCCCCGGCTGCCCAATGAAGGCAACATTGCAAAACCAAGGCCGGTCATGTCTCTGTCGTGCACAAAAGCCATCACCAATTCAAAAACGAACTGCAATTCGATGCTTCAGAATCTGACGAGGAGAAAAAGAAAACACCGACAAGAGCGATAATCGTCAAGTCGGGCACTTCGCGGTCGTACGTCATGGCGCCTGGCTTAGGGGCAGCGTGGCAGCATCAATTCGGAGGTAACTGCTCCCGCAGTACGAGGGGCCGAAGGATATTGAGACATGTGCTTGAACAGATTGGCTGAAAAGATGATGGTGGCGAAAGGCTCGAGTTCAGTTCGAGAGCGGGGGCCTCCATTGGAGGAGGCACGGCTTCTTCTAGTGTACCAACGATTCCGAAAAGGTCATCACTTCGAGAGGCCGGGCCAGAGAGTGGGTTATGCATGTGCCCAGCCACGCCTCGCAGCAATCCTGCGAAGACTCCACGGCTGGACAAGTCACCGAAGCTAAATAGGAAAGTGCTGCTGATCGTGTGATGTCACGATGGGCGACATATGCACAAGCGACATAAACTGTGACTACATCAAACTATCTGCTATTGCAAGCATCTGCAAACGACCGGGTCGCGCATGGCTGCTGCTTGTTGTACATGACGTGATCCCGCATCAGGAAGGGGTGTAAAAGCAGACGCTGCGGTCGTCGCAAGCCCTTTGATGGCGAAGCTCATCCCCCCGGCTTCTGCTGCTGGAACTGCTGGCAGGGATTGGAACAACAACTTCCCTTAGAGCGGACACGGGCGCGCAGTCTCCAGCTACCATGGGTGCTTGTGCCCGTGGTGGGGGTTGGAGAAGGTGAAACAGGCGCTGGCTTCCGAAAACGATGAGGTACCTCTCGAATCTTCAGCTTACACGGCCCACACGCCTTGTTCTTGAAGTTTTGAAGTGCTGTCGAACCGCTTTCGAGGGCCCAGTCGTTTCCCGAATGCCCGCACAAGATTAGATGTACAAGGTCTGGCAGCCAGAAACTTCCCGACTGAGCAGATCGGGCCGATAAGCAGGCCGTGAGCTCAAGAGGAAAAGGCTTCCTGATTGGTCGCACCGCTGGGCCGTCTTCTTTCCTCAGCCCCCGCCCGAGGATCGGCTCTCAAGTGCTGGAGCTCCCCCTGCTTCTCACGGAGTTCCTCGCGCAAGCGCACGACCTCGCAGGCACTTCGGAGGCGATGTTTCACGAGCAGAGCACCGCACTCCGGCCTTGGACTCCAGCTTGCGGACCAACTCCCAAGCATTCTCCTCGGCAAGGAACCGCTACCGCCGCCGCCTACCGCCATGAAAACTCTGCAAACCCGAACCCCTTTCCCTTTCCTCCATCTGGCTCGTGACATGGGCGAAACCGTTCACAGGAGGGATGGCAGAGGCAGCATCCAGCTGTAAGCGCAGTGCCCGCACCTGCTTGATGCGCATCTCTGCGGTGCTTCTGGGTTGCATTCAACTGGAGTTTGCGACTGTTTGTTTTGTCGTCCATGTCTAAACATCTCTTGCTGGGGTCCCCATCTACCAGTTGACAGCACCGGCTTCCATGATCGCCATGGATTGCCTGGTCCTGCAGATCTTTGCCCTGCCGGTCCAGGAAGTGCTCACGCTGCTTTGCCGCGGCTTCGGCCGCCTCGGCTTTCAAGCCCCGACTTGTCTTCGTGGACTCTCAAACGCCACGGATACGCACAGACGCAGGGTTCTCCCAAGACGCCTCCAGCGCCGCCAGCTTCCGCCACGCCCGGGCCTCTGCCTCGCGGGCGGCGCTGGCGCCAGTGCCCAAAGCCTTTGTTTCCCTGCGTAGCACCTGGAATGGGAGTGAGTTTGTGATGTGGGCAGCGCAGGTCTTGATGGTGGTGGTGTTTGACGTGACAAGATCCCAAGAAGCCCTTACCAACATGGCATCGAAGCAAAGGGCACATAGCCCACGGCGGTACCTCACCACCCTGCTTTCAAAATCCCATGTAGTCACGTACGAATCAGCCCAGACTCTCGAGCCCACCTCGCAACGGGAAGTGAGCTGTGTAATCAGCGTGGTCTCCTGGCGAACAGCATCCTGAAGTTCCTGTCCAGGCGCTTTCTGGAAGTTCGATAAAGCTCACCGGGCCCCAATACAGCAGTCGGGAGGGACGGAAACTCCCTCGAACTTCGACGCTGGATCCGGTGTGTAGTGTCTCGTACGCCCTAGGAAAATCGGGTGCTTTGATATGCTTTGTAAGTCGAACTGAGTCTAACGGGTAGTTTCAGCCGTCCCTCGGGCTCCAGCCTGCAGCCCTGCGGACAGCTGCTGTCGCGAGGCCTCCAGCGATGCGACGCGGGCGCTCTTCGCCAGCTCGCCGCCTCTCCCATTCCTCGGCTCGCATGCACCCTTTTTCGACTCTTGGTATCTGATCTGAAACCCCACCCACACTGTGAGGTCCCGTTGTATATAGAAGAGACCAAGAGGCGAGCTGGGTCCTCCGGGTCCCTCCGCCTCCGCGGGAGACCTCGCCAGGGCCTCCGCGCAGCGGCGCTCCCTCGCCGCGAAGCGCCGCTCGGCCTCGCCCGTCTCCCGCAGCAGAGCCTCAAGAAAGAAGAGGGGCCGGAAAGCAAAGAAAAACCTTCGAATGGAGCTTTTGGGATTCCGGTGGGGCCATCCTCGAATTCGGGTGCCTGCCTCTCGCTCTGGCTGCTCGTCCGCCCAGCGCCGCCTGAGCTCCACCAGCTCCTTTTGGTTCTGCTCCGCCTCGGCCTGGACCCGGTCCAGCTCCTGCTTCACGGCCAAAGCCAGCTTCCGCTGCACCTTCGAAAGCGACAGCTTGGGGAAATGGGTCCCCCGATTGTACCCTAGGGCCCTAGAACTCTTTGTGAGGCTGAAGCTGCTTCAGCTATCGAAGCCTTCATTCCCATTCCTTCCGATCCGAAATTACAAACCCCCAGAGCACGGCTCGTGCAGTGGCTCGGGGGCTCGGGCCTCTACCTCTGCCTGCACGCTTTGCAGGCGCTCGCGCAGGGCTTTGGCATAGCTCTCATCTCCCACGGCCCCACCATCCATGACGATCCGCTCTCATCTCTTTGTCCCGACACAAGTCTATGCTTTGAGCACTCTAAGCTGGCTTCTCCCCTTGTGACCACTGACTTGTGGGCTTCGATTGCAGCGTGGGCGTATCTCAAAGGCAAAATCATGAGACTGTGCAACCATTCAAGCACCCTTGAGCCCAACATGCTGAAGGCGACTTCGGGCTCACCCCAAAGCGGAAGCGGAAAACTTACGCCCGCCTAATGCGAAAGCGTGCAACTGCTAGGCCGAACGCGCTAATCCGAAGTCGAAGCCGTTTTCCCTAAGGCATTACCGGAAGCCCGCAACCCTGAAAGTAGAAAAGAAACCCAAAGGAGTGAACTCAACACCAAGAGCCGAAGGAGCGAAGTCCATCCCACCAGAACCCACCCTCTCTTCCCAAGCCCGAAACCCAGCATAAACCGCAACCAATGCAAAACCCTAGGGAGTCTTGTATGCCGGCCCAGAACTCAGAAAACCGACTCCGTTGCCCCCAGTTCACGTTCGGCATGAGCTGCAGATAAGACCCTACACTAGACTTAGACATTCATGCCAGTGGGTGGGTAGAGTTCTGATTAGGGTTCTCGGCCTCCTGGTGGTCAGGGCCGTGTAGGGTGGTTGGGTTCACTCGTTACGCCTTGCATTTAGCGGCCTCTGATTTAAGGATTATGTTTGGCCTGAGTCTTTCGGTGTTCGGCCGTTTAGGGGCTCCAAGCGAGGCCTTCCCGAAAGTTGCTTTGCTGCTGGTTTCGGCCTTAGGTTGGGTTCAGTCCTTGCGTTTCTCTGCTTGGGGCAGGTTCTATCGGCGAAAGAAGGCCGCGGCCACTGCAGCTTCGTGTTGTTTTGGCCCTCGCGGCCCCAACAGTGCATGCTAGTCATGTGCTGTGATGCCTTCCTCGCTGCAACCGAAGCACAAATAAGAGAAGCCTGTTTCGTGTGGTGCTCGCGCGCCTTCTTTGCTGGCTAGGGAGGCCAAGGCCAGCTGATGCTGCCCGATGCAGTGATTTATCATTTCTCTCCTGTCCAATTTCCCGAATGACCTTCGACATGCTGCCCCCCTAGCCAGTGCTGTCCTGCAAACTCTGCTGCATCTCCTGTGACTCAAGCGTTGACCACCTTGCCGTAGAAGATGCCTTTCAGGAGGACGGTCCTCAATCGGGGGCTCGGAAACCCGTGTGAAAGTGAGTCGCCACTCAAGCCCCATAACTACGAAGCAAACAGGACCCTCCTGGGAGCTTTGGCGCCCATGTCGGTGTCGGAAGGCTGCTTGGACACAAAGACGCCGCCGATCTCGCCAAGCTCCTGGTTCACCTGCAAAAGATCAGAAACTGCCGTGGAAAACGCGCAGGCACAACTCACACTTTTCTGCTTTGGAAAGCCTTCGGAAGGGTACAACCAAGTCTGCGGCAAACGAACTGCCACAGGAAGACATGTGATTCGGATATACTCGGATCAGGCGACAAGATTCTGCTGTGTGTTGACGCTGTGTCCTTTGCAGCACTTCAGCCCGAAAGAGCAGCCCGCCTTGTTGACCTCCATCTCGATGA